GAAGGACTGGCAGACATCTTGATCAAGTCCATATCCCTCCTTTCGAAGATGGGGAAACTGAGGCCCATAGAGAAGTGACCTGAGGTCACAGTGAGTCAGGAGCAGACTCACATAAAAGCACAGAGAAGTGGTTGTCTTTATAAGGTTACTGATGCATGAACTGGTACCTGCCAAGAGAATAAACTGCAAGGGGAGGGAGGCTGAGCCGTGCGGGGTGTTGAAATGCAGCCTGTGCTGTGCTCCCACTGAAGACAGTGGGCAGAGGGGGCCTAGGCAAGTGCTTTCTGGAGCCAACAGCAGTGATTCAGTTGTGACGTTGCAGACCTGCCACACTGAGGCCGTGTCCTCGGTCGTCCTCCTGCAAGCAGCTGTAATGTGCCATGAGCCACGCTCACTGGCCCGCCCAAGCCCCCGTGACCCCCAAAGTGAGAAAAGCTGGAGGTGCAGGCTGGGCTCACTGGACACTGGCTTGCTGGCCTCCCTCGTTGACCTACCGAGGCACTGCAGAGCTGTAGGAAAAACACTGTGTTTCACACCGGAAGCCCTAGCTTTGAGTCTCAGTTCCAGTGGAAGATTCTAGCAGACATGTCAACTTTTTAATCCAGGCCCCAAGTGAATAAATGTGTATAACAGTAGCTTGATTACCTGCTGGAAAAGAAAGCCACATGATAAGCACTAGAGAGTATGAGGAAGTACTTCCTTAGCCAGATATGGTCTTCCTGCATGGCTGCTGGGCCCTCAGGCACTAGGCTGCCTTTCTTTAAGAAGGGCCAGGAGGGGCATATGGGAGAAGCAGCCTGGTGAGAAACTAAAGCCTGGGCTTGGAAGAGAAAGTCTAGATATTACCGCCATCACTATAATTATCATCTTTGTAATCCAACTAAGCCAAAGAAGCGGCAGTCTGAGCTCCCACCTAAGCACATGCACCACCTGTGGCTGCTCACCTTGTCATGCAGCACCCGGAAACCCAGAAAAGCTGGGCCGCCTGGTCTATGAACCACACTCTGTGAACCGCAGGGGCCAGCAACCTACACAGAGAGCTGTGGCCCCAGGGAGGTGCAGCCCTGTCTCCACCCACCAGCATTGCTTTTCCTTTGTTCAGAAGAAAGCCAGGAATTAGGAACCGCATAGCACCTCCCTGCCCCGAAAACAACCTCAAATGTCAATTTCTACAGAAAAAGTCCTAATAACACCATGATTGATTTTCCCTGTCCACTGAGATAATCCCTGAACCCAGAGCCTTATGGGTTCCAAGAGAACCCTAAGCCAGCTCTGCACTCCTGCCCTCCACGCGGGGAACTGAAGACACCAGCCTCCATGACAATTAAGAAAAAAAAAATTTCTATCTGTCTATTGGATTGTTGGAAAAGTCATGACGCATTTTTGCAACGTAAAACATAAAAACAATACGTCATGACTTTTCCGACAACGCAGTATCTACCATCTAAATCGGTGTTCGGTTCCCTCGGTTGGCCTGACACTGAAGAATGGGCACCACACGCACTGCTTTGAGAAGGCAGATTCTGTGGGCACCGGAGAACAATGTCAGAAACCCAGGTCTTTCCAGGGTCAAACGCCTATCTCTTCCGTGTAGAAGGTAGGCAGCCTAAATGTTACTCTGTTGTGCCCATTCTCTGTCTAGAGTAGTAAGAATCCTGGCTCGACAGTGGCTTCGCTAGGCTGAGCAGCAGGAAGGAACACAGACAGACACAGAGCGTGGCCTCTGCGTGTTGTTAGCATGGAGACCGGGCAACCTGCACGAGTGAGTGAAGTCTGGGTTTGAATTTCTGCTAATTCTCTGGCTGTGGAATTACAGGGAAGTCACGCCCCTCTCTGAGCCATGGCTTTCTAACCTAGCGACTTTATCTGGGGACTCATCTCCAGGGCTGTGGTGGGATTCAGGTAGAAGTGGGGTGTGAAAGCTGTTCAGCAGTGTCCTCAGCACCTGTGATGGCCTCAGAGTTGCTTTTAGGTTTGTATCTAAGTATCTCGTGTCTGGCAGGCTTGGAAGACCCCGGAGGAGGCCACACTGGTGTGTGCCCGCACACGAGGAGGGAGAGGCGGGCGCCGCTCGGCAAGACCCAAGCTGCTTAGAAAAGACCAGGACTGGAAGGCGCGAGCCCCAGATGCCACCGCAGAGCAAGAGGGAGAGGGAGTCGAGGGCGAGCATGTACAAGGTGCCATGAATCTCTCCACACCTTTGTAAGTGGGACTTAGGACCCAGTGTTACAAATAAGGGCACTGAAGCTTACAGATAATAACCACATTTAACAAGACCAAAAGGAGAAGAACCAGTATTATTTGTGCTTTTATCACATACCAGGCACACACACCAAGTGCTTTATAAACATTTCAAATTTCAAGTTCCTAACAATCATAGGAAGCAGGGTTTATTAGCCCAAAGCCACAGGTGGCAGAGAGCAAAGACCTAATATAATAAAGATCTAGCTGCCCCCGAATGAATGCTTTTTTCACTATAGCAAACTGCCTCCCCCCAGGGAAGGGAAGGATGGAATTTCCCAACACAGAGAGGGTTTCATAGAAAACGTCACAATTAGCTGGCAGCAAGGGGCCTTCTGCGGAGCTGATGGGCTGAGCAAGTGGTGGAGAGGCTGCCTGCACCCGGCACCCAGGGTAAAGCACGGATCAGTGTGGCACAGCCACACCACTGAGTCGCAACCGCTGTGACAAGACGCCAATAACGGAGAATCCAACTTTGGATGAACCCCCCAAACATAATATTGAGGGAGAGAAATCATGCACAAAAGCACACGCTGTATGAAGTGCACACACAATGAAGTTCAAACACAGGCAAATTGCTATCGTCACAGATGCTGACATCCTGGTTGTCCTGGGATTCATGTGTGTAAAAGCCTCTCCAGAGGCACATCTCAGGTTTGCGCACGGACTGTCGCCTCAGGTGAAGAAAAAGTGTAATTCCCTGTGGGCCCAGGGCCCCTCCACCAAAGCTCGTCAGGACACGGCCAACAAACCCTGACAGGCAACTGTGACTCATTATGAAAGTTTCAAATTAGGCCACTCTTGTGTTGTGACCATACCCCCCAAACTAGCTGGTGGCCCCCACAAAGACCTCCACTCACTCTGAGTGACTACCTGACATGGGTAAACCATTTCCTCAGAATGGGTCAGGTTTTTTATGTGAAAATGAGGTGGGTTAACTGATCTCTTTGCAGTTCTATGGAGAATTTAATAAAGTAACTATTAGTTTTTATTTAACTTAAGTTGTTGCTTTGAAAAAGTTAGCTTCTGGTTCAAGTAAAGCCTTTTTTTGCCCCTCAATTATCTACATGTAGAGATATACAGTGAACCTTAACGCTCCCATGCTGGGGTGGTTCAGATCAGAACCTTAAACTCAGCTCACTTTACTGTGAAGCTCAAGGCTCTTGGGTGGAAAAGACAGTTTAATAAACATTTGTTTGCTGCCTACAATGTTTCAGGCTGGTGCCGGTCACTCCAAGTGGCTGTGGGTGATCGGCCTCCCTACCACACCCCAAGGTCACAGCCGAAAATCTACACACCTTGGAGCCATTTCATGGGGAAAGTGTGTTCAAGTCTTCTGTGCGCGACCTACGGGAAGCATACTCAAACCATGTTCTTATTTACTTAAAAAAATCCCCCCAGGCTTTAAATTGGGTCCCAAAGCTGCAGTGTATCAGGCCAGCGGGTGTTTAAAAGCCACCTGCCCCCATGCCTTCCCACTTCCCACCTGATCCTGGCTGCAGCAGCAGCAGCAGCAATACAGAGATGATACCCACAACACTGATACTGGGTGACTGATATGTGTTAGGCAGTCTGCTAAACATTTTACTTTCTAGCTCATTTGAAAGTAAAAATAACCCTGTATCGCCCCCATTTTATAGATAAACTGAAGCACAGAAAAATGGAATAACTTGTCCAAGGGTTCTCAGCTAGAACGTGGCAGAACCAGGACTCAGGCCCAGCAACGTGGCCCCAAGCCTGGCTCTTAACCAGCAGGCTCTACAAGGTAAGAGCTCCAGCCAAGTGCAGGGCCACATCCGGGGCCACCTAGACACCCACGCCCTGGAAAGCCTCGTCCTCCCTCTGAAGCCAACACTGCAAATGTCCAGAGCAAGCCACATGTGCTTTTACTTCTTGGCTTTGCCTACCCTGCTGAGCAGCCCTGGCCAGCACCCGCACTCACGGTCTCCACCAGGCATCCAGCCCACCCAGTCTTCCAGGCCTTCGGGGCCTCTCACTGTGCAGGCCCCGCCTTCCAGCTTCCTTCCCAACCTGTCTCCTAGTGCACCCTGGGCCCGGAACGCTGCAGCGGACTCTCCAGCACAGGCTGAGCTCGCATGCCCGTGTGCCTAGTATGTGCCTGGGAGGCCCACTTCCACCTCTGCCTTGTGAACTCCTCACCCTTCCAATGTCAGCACCTCATCAGAGCCTCCCCCCGCAGCCCCGTTTTCCTTTCTGTGCTCCCCGAGTCTCCTGCTCACACCTTATTGGAGCACTTATCCCAGTACTTAAAACTGGCAGGTTGTGAACCTGTCTGTTTGGAAATGCTAAGTGCCTTGAGCGGAAGGACTCATGTATTCATTCCTTATGTAGGCGGCTTATTAGTTTCTTATACTCAGCAAATGTTTAGCAAAAGTTTGTTAATCATACGGATAATTGAACTCAAGAATAAACTGTTGTTTGCTCCCTCCCATCTCTGCCAAATACGGGTTCTAGAAGTAGGACAACCAGTGTAAAACGGATCCGGGCAGGTAGCTTCAGGCACCAGAGCAAATCCCTATCTCACAAATGGCAAAAGATGTAAACATCATTCTCTCCTCCTTCAAACTGGTCATCTCCCTTTAATCCTAGCGCCAGGCAGCAGTTTCTGTGAGAGCCACAGAACGTCAGCTCATGGCGGTCGTGGGGAGCAGACGCACTGAGAGCCAGAGCTGGGGGAGGCGCGGGCAGGACGGCGGGGGAGGGGAGCTTGGCACCGGCCCAGGCACGGCCCTGCTTACCTCCTTCCTGGGAGTTCATGACGTTCAGGGCAAACAGCATGGCATTGCAGAAGGTGGTCGCCTCTTCCTTACTCGCGAAGTTTAAGCCGTAGACCTGGCGGGCATCTCGCCACTGGTGGAAGGTTGGTGTTGCCTGATTGTACTTCAGCCCTTTCACGATTGAATAATTGATCACAACCTGGAGAGGAAAAGAGAGAGAAATAGGTGTAAATAAATAAAAGGTAAGTGAGCTGGAGGAAGCGGCTATGGGGCAAGGATATTGTGTCCCCTGGGGCTACCAGAGGACAGGGAGATGGGGTGTGGTCACAAGAAGGGAAAGCATGGCCAGGCAGCTTTTCAGTGTGATCTAAGAAGAGGGGGTTTACAAGCCAGGAACTGTATTTAACAGATAGTGCTGAGCAGTCACAACCTTCAGATGAGACTCCCGAGCTACGAGGCAGGTTCTCTGGGTCCTGATCGTGGCCCTGCCCCCCAGCTGTGTCACCCATGGTGATCACTGCACCTCTCTGGGGCTCAGTTTCTCCAGTTATAAAATGGGGACAATAATCCTGGCTCTACTGACCTCACGGGGTTACTGCAAAGGTCACATTGTCAAAAATGTCTTATCTAGGCTTCTAGGCATAAAGATCCTTAAGGGCATGAGTCTTTTCAAATTCCTATGCCTCCCAGAGCCTAGTGCTTAGATTGCATTAATAGATGGGTTATTAGTTAAAAGGAAAACTTGGAAAAGTTAAAATGTGCCACACACATGTACAGCGTTATTAGTATCTTTATTATTAATCAATCAAGATATATCGGATGAGGGCCAGCCGAGTGGCGCGATGGTTAAGAGCTGGCTTGGGATGCCAGAGGGCCCCGGTTCGGATCCCACATATGAGGGCCAGTGACACTGCCCTCTACAGCTAAGATGCTGAACAACAGCTCAACCTGGAGCTGGGCTGCCGTGAGTCACTGGCAACGGCGTAGGCTGCAGCCCCTGTGGCAGTGGGTTGCCATGGGCTACCGTGTGTAGCCAGCAGCCAGCGTGAGCGGCCAGCAGCCGCAGTGAGCGGCCATCCAGAAGCCGGCGACTGATCTGCCTTGCCCGGGAAGAGCGCAATGATGGTGCCAACTTGGGCCAGTGAAGCAACGTCCTCCACAACTAGACTGAAGAACAAAACGACAGCAACAAGTCTGTTCCCCTTCCCCCAATTCCCCAGCGCTGCTCCCATCCCCCCAATTCCCCAATAAAAATCTAAAAAAAAGAAAAAAAAGAAAAGAGATGTATCGTTTGACTGCCAGGAGCAATGCCAGGCCCAGCAGGGAAAGCTGCAGAGACCAGGACAGAACCCAGACACTAAGGAGCTTATAGGTAGTCAGGGAATTCCACACTAGGCCTGCCTGACCTCTGACTTTGCTCTTCAGACATTTAATAGGGAATTATTTCCAAGTTCTGTAAGACTACATTCAGCAAGCAGGGCTCAGGAAAGGGTGGGAGGCCTAGAGCCCTTTTTCTGAGTCCCTAACCCCTCTTTTCAATTGGAGTCACATGACCTACCATCACGGAACTTAGTCATCAGTTTTCTTATCTATAAAATGGGGAAGAAGGTGATGTGGCTGTGGGACGGCACCCTTGTAGCGTGTTATCCTGCATGTGAAGCATCTCACACAGCTGCTGGCACCCAGCAGGCTGTCCCTAAGTGTTAGCTGAGAAGTAGGAAGGTCCCTGGAGATGGAAGCGTGCAGAGTGTGGACGGCCTGCTGCTAGTGCTGTGATGGGAAGGACTTTGCTTTAGGAGAGGTACTAGACGATTCCTCAGATTTCCCCTGGCTTTTAGGCTTCAGGTTGGTTTTGTGATCTGAACTTGGAGATAACTCTGTCTGCGGTGCCCTGGTCTGGAAGGTGAGCTCAGGAAGAGGTTCAGAGATGCAAAGGGACATGGCCAAGACACCCTGCTGGTTGGCGGGGGCACTAAGATGGAACTGATTTACTGTTCTCCTCACAGCTCCACGCTGCTGCGCTGTAGGGTGAGCAAGGCCAGAGGATACCAAATGTGGGCAACACCCAGAGGAGCTTTCCCCAGGCTCAGCCAGGGGGAGGCGGGTCTGAGTTCTGCTAAAGTGAAGAGAGAGAGAAAGAGAGCAAGATTGAATGTATACTTCGGTTCCTGGGGTGGTTCTCCTTCTAGGTTTACCTGGAGGTCATCGGAATAAGGGCTGGGGGTTTGTGGCATGTACACATGATCAGAAGCACAGTGACTTGTAGTTAAAACCACTCGTAAGATTAGAGGGCACATCAACAGTGACCAGAGTGAGGGTGACAGATGCTGTTCCTTGCGGCCCCAGTAAGTCCAGACCAGAGGATCTGTGCTGAAGTGTTTCTGTGTTGGGTGCTGCACTTTAGTGGATGGTGACAAAGCAAGCCAGAGGGAAATGCTTTAAAGAGAAGGATGCCTGGAAACAGCATCATATGGAAAATGTTTGAGGGATACTGAAGCAAAAGATGACTGCAGTGAAGCACTGCTGTCCCCAGGTATCTGAGAGGTGTTGGGGGGCGTGAGGCTTAGGATCCCAAGATCTGAAATCTCTGGTTGGCTATGTGCTTGGAGGGGGACTTAAGGGTGTGGGAATTGGGGGAGGCTGATGCCTATTCAGAATATGGAAATAGTGTGGCCAAAGGAATCAGTGAAAGGAACTCAAAAGACCAAAGAGAATATCTAACTCAATCCCCTCTTTTTACAGTTGGGAAAACCAAGGCCCAGGGACAACGAGCGAGTTGTCCAAAGTTGCACCGTAAGCTAATGGTAGAACTGCATTCAGCAGTCATGTCTATAGCCTAGGATTTTGTGATGCTTCTGATCACCAGCATAGAGAACTGAAATCTTTTTTCCCGTAATTCCCTCTCCGGTCCTAACTCTCACTTTCGGCACCTCATAAATTGGTTCTCTAATTCTGGAGAAGAGTTCCAAATATTAGACGGGGGGAGTGCCTTCTAGAGGGCATATCCCATAAGTTCTTTGGGTTCTTTGTCACACATGACTGCTATCTCCCCTGACTGCAGCTCTTGGGACAGTCACTTCTGTCCTAGCTATAGCTAGAGTATAAATATAAAGTCAGCTCACCACGTGCTGCCACCTGCTGGCTAAACGCAGCTCACAACAGTCAGCACTGCTTTGAAGACTATGGACTAGGTACAAGAATTGGGCAGAGGGTTCTGGATTCAAATTCTGCCTTTATTACTCTGCTGTTGAATAACCTTGGACAGGTTACAGACATTAGCTTCTTTATAATGAAGATAATATTACAAATAATTTTGTATTGACTTTCCTTGTCATATTCTGTGTGAACATGTATTTCTACAGGATATATTCCTATAAGCAGAACAGCTGGATCAGTAGACATGACCCTTTAAAAATTTATATTTACTATTTGAAAAGGGGCTTCTAAATTGCCCTGTAAAAAAAGACGAGTCCATGCAACGCGTTTTGGATGTATGTGCAGACGACACACGCCTATGTCACCTGACTGTCTGTTGAGAGGTATCCAGTGTTCATTAACTGCCAGGTAGACCACATGGGCTGACGGTTACAACTCTGTTTCTACCTGATGGCTCCACTCCTTGGTTTGCTCTGCTTAGAACATGGACGTTCCTGCACGTCCACTCTGGGGTGTGGACCAGCTTCACATCACACGCTTCTCCTAACGCCCCTTCCGGAGGAGGCCATGTTTCTGACTGTTACCACCCTCGGTTCCTTTCGCCCTCCTTCATCTACACAGAAGAGGGTTCACAGGGTGTGTACTCGTTTCTCATGATGCCTGTGAGACTCATCCATGTTACTGCACTTATAAATATTGAATTCTTTTTGATTGCTACAATACATTCCATTTTTTGATATACCACAAATAACTTATCCATTCTCCTGTCAATAGACATTTGCTTAGTTTCTAACTATTACGAATGCAACTGTTATGAATCTTTCATTCCTGTCTTTTAGTGGACACAGGCACTCGTTTCTCTTGGGTATATACCAGGAGTGGGTTGTAAGGCAGGTGTGCGCTGAGTTTCAGTAGGTTCTGTCAAGCCACTGTCAATTTACACCTCCAGTTGACATCAGCATCATGGAGGAGTGAGAAGACCCTTTTGTATCGCCCCTTAAATTTATAACAAATCGGACATCTATAATTCCCACCAAGATTCCTCTGCTCAGCACACTCACATGCCTGAGAGATCCATGCACCGGTACATGTGAAGGTGGGCGCACTGGAGCGCACAGAGGAGGTGGGGTGGGGAAGGACAGGGATGGCACCTGTAGGTGTAGCTGGAGGCTGCCGAGGCCCCAACTCACGTGGTAGTGGTAGAGGAGTGGGCTGCAGCCCCCACACTATGGCCCAGTGGAGGGTACGAGGGGCACAAGTAGTGCTGGTGCTCGAGACGCTGGCTCCCTCCCCCTCCACTGCTGCAGAACCTCCACTGTAGCAGCACTGGAGATGTGTCTCATGGCACAGTGGTGCTGGGGGCCACAGGGCCATTAGTAAGTAACAAGGAAGCAGTGCTGCAGGCTTAACAACCACCTGCCACATCCCCCCACCATGGTGAGAACTGAGGTGACTCACACTCACACAGAATGGGGACACCTACCACCCTGTCACCTAAGAGTCAATTTCCATGACAATAGCAACCCCCCCCACCCCATCACAACCCTGAGGCACAAATAGCACAGATAACAGGAAACACAAACTTGCTCTATAGCGCCATCCACTGGAAAACAAAAAGACCTATAATTATCAACCTGCTGAACTGTTAAGCTCAAAATGGTATCTAACCCTCTGTCGGGTGCAACTGATCTCACAGATTCATTGCACACAAAGATGCCGCTATACGTCTTTACTATACTAAGTCACAAACACGACTGGAGACGGTAGAGGGGGAAGATATGGAAGCAATGAGTCACGATACTTAAGTTAACTGTTAGATATTTGAAAATTTGTGTGCAATGAATCTGTGAGATCAGTTGTGCCCGATGGAGGGCTAAACAAGGAAGGAGTCCACTATCTCAAATGCACAATCTCAAAGTCATGGAAAACTGGTTTAAATGACAGAGAATTGCAGTAATAAAGAAATTCAATGACATACAAGAAAACTCAGAAAAGCAGTTCAATGAGCTCACGTATAAAATTAATGAACAAAAGGAGTACTTTACGAGAGAGACTAAAACTATAAAAAAGAACCAAGTAGAAATTCTGGAACTGAAGAACTCAATAAAGGAGATGAAAAATGCATTAGAGAGCACTGGAAATAGAGCAGTCCATGTGGAAGGCAGAATTAATGAGCTCGAAGACAGAAATCTAGAAATGATTCAGGTGGAAGAGAGAGAACTAAGAGTTAAAAAAATGAAAGAACTCTACGAGAACTGTATTTCAGAATAGGATATAAAACAATTATAACATAAAGGTTAAAAGAATAAAAAGCATTAAAAATAACTATAGCTACTACAATTTGGTGATAATTCTTGTACCGTTATCCCCATGGGGTTACTGGGAGACTGAAGTAATAGACATGAAAAGTGCTCTGTAGGCCATAAAGAGATGAAATGTGTAAAATATCCCTATTTGGTTATAAGACCAGGAATCTCTGTTTCTTTTAAAATATTTGACCTTGTAATCCATACTGACTGGGAAACAGACCTGTGACAATTAGTCTTTTCTCCTGAGGGCCACAAAAGTTCCTGAGGATCAGGTTTCCTGCCACTTTCTATAACGCCTTGGTTAACTAAGATTCCCTTTTATGTTCCTAGCTAACATGCCCCATCCACTGGGAACAGAGTCTCAACCACATTCTAGGGACCCGTGTTGTGAACATGCAATTCCAAGCAGAACTCCTCTGTCAGACTCTAGGAGATCTCCTAGTTAAAGATCTCTGAATTGATACACGAGATCCCTGAAGGCTGTGGCCAGTCTCTTCCTGCAGGGGGAAAGGCCTCCTCCCAAATGAGCCCCGCGGTGTGGTTTCCTCTGAAGGAGGATGGGAGGCAGAGACTCTTGAGAACAAGGTGCACTTAGGTTTCCGGGAATCCTGTTCTCCAGCCCCGTGCCCTCCCCAGCGCACCGTGCTACCTCCCAGTGTGCACAGAGGGCAATGGAGAGGCAAGAAGGGAAGGAAACTGGTCATAATAAAAGCAACCACTTAGGAAACACCTACTGTGATTCAGGAACTGGACTAGGTGATGGGCCTTATGTGGAGGGCAAATGCCAGGGTGGGAGTGCCCTGCCAGTCCCCGCCCACGGGTGTTATGGAAATGTGTGAGATGCTTTTGGTTGTCACCATACTTGGGATTAAGGGTGCTATATATCCTGCAATGTATGGTGCACCGTGCCTGAAAAAGGCAGAGCTAGAACCAATGAATTAGAAGAACAGGGAAGCAGCTTCTAGGAGGTTTTTAGCAAAACCTTCCTATTCGTAAGGATCATCAACACAGGAAAGGGATGCCTCTGAAGGTACCAAGAGATCCAGGTTAGACAGGCCATCTTTAATCAGGGGTCCTGATGAAAGAGGGATGTTCTTTGGCCACAAGAATCTGAAACTTAGTAGGGATATTTTGGCTAAAGCAGACACACATTCAATAGGCAGCCTACTTAAAATAGTCTTGTTTCTGTTCTCTCTTTTCTAATTGCTAATATGTTGATTCTTGCAGGTAGCAGCTAACCTGCTGCTCAATTTAGCCAAGGCTGGACCAACAAAAGATGTCAGAAGATGCTATTTAGGTAGAGTTTTTCACAAATGCTGCAACTACAGATCAGTTCATTTCACTGCTAAAAATGTCCTTGTCAATCTAAGAAGAGAGCTGGTGGGAGAGAGCTGAAGTACTAACCAAAGTATGAGGTTAGACTACAGAACCCCTTTCTCCACGTCTCTCTTTCGGTCTATGTCACATAGGACTCCTCTGTCTTATTTAAGCGTACACAACTATTCCTGACATAGGTGGACTTACCTTGTATTTGCAGAGGTACTGACCAAAGTACATTCACAAACTCTCTTATCTGATTTGCCCAGGATGTGCTATGAGGGAGAGAGGTGATCCCAGGGTCTTCAAATCATCTTGGTATTCTTAGTGAGACTTAGGGGATTGATGAACCAAAAATCATCATTGCTGTATGCCTTACGGATATGTAGGCACAGAACAAAACTAACATATTTTTACAATATATTTTTTAAAGCCGTGTCATATCTATTATTTTATTCTGATATGACAATAACACAGTGAGGTGTGGATTCCTATCTCTATAAGACAGATGTGAAAAAGAAAAGATAGTTTGCTCAAGGTGTCAGACCTTACAGTATGAGAATATGGCATAGTCAGAACTGGAACCCAGATCTTCTGACTCCAAATCTTGACCTTACTTTTTTCTGACCTCTTTTCATTGGGTGTGTGTGCGCGCATGTGTGTACACGTGTGCGTGCATGTCTGTGTGTGCGCATGTGTGTGCGCGACTGTGTGTGCATGCGGGGCATAGGCTTGCGGGTATAATCGGTTGGTCAACCAGCACTCACCTGCTGGTCCTGCAGCTTGACTCCGACGACTCTGAAGGTGTTGCTGGCGGTGTTGTGGTACATGTTGATTCGGCTGAACCCCTGCTGGCCAGGTTTGATGGGTACCCATTTCTTACTGGTGTCATCGTAGACCATCACGGAAGCCCGGGCTTGGCAGATACTCTGTTCACTGCAGAGCAAGAGAAAACTTAAGTGTCAGCGTCAGCTGCAAAAGGCTTTGCCCTTTTCTTAAACAGGCCAACGGCTGCTTGATGCAGAGTAACTTTCTAACTGCCAGAGCTTTTTTTTTTTTTTAAAGATTTTTATTGGGGAATTGGGGGGATGGGAACAGTGCTGGGGAATTGGGGGAAGGGGAACAGACAAGTTGCTGTCGTTTTTTGTTCTTCAGTCTAGTTGTGGAAGATGTTGCTTCACTGGCCCAAGTTGGCACCTACATTGCGCTCTTCCCGGGTGAGGCAGATCAGTCGCCGGCTTCTGGATGGCCGCTCACGGCGGCTGCTGGCCGCTCATGCTGGCTGCTGGCTACACACGGTAGCCCATGGCAACCCACTGCCACAGGGGCTGCAGCCTACGCTGTCGCCAGAGACTCATGGCAGCCCAGCTCCAGGTTGAGCTGTTGTTCAGCATCTTAGCTATAAAAAGCAGTGTCACTGGCCCTCATATGTGGGATCCGAACCGGGGCCCTCTGGCGTCCCAAGCCAGTTCTTAACCATCGCGCCACTCGGCCGGCCCTGCCAGAGCTTTTAACTGTTTGTGGAAGGGCTGCCCTGTGGGGTGACGAGATTCCATTCTCCAAGGATCATGGGGAGTGGACAGGAGGCTGGCTCTATGCCAACGTTTTTGACAGCTTGGAAAAGACTCACAGTTTTCCTTCCAGGAGAAAAGGCGCTTGAATGAGGAAGGAATTATGGTTACAATTTGCCAACTGTCTACAATATTCCAGACACTGTGTTAAATTAGACAATGCATTAAAGCACCTAAGTTTCACAACTTATGGAGTAGCCCCAGTACCCCCATTTTGTAGATGAAAAAAGTGGCTCAGAGACTTGGAAAGGTTTATACAAATTCACATAGGTATTCAGTGATTCCATTCAGGATTGCCAACCAGTTCTGTCTGACTCTACAGAACATGACGCAGATAATATTCTGCCCAACATCCCACAAAATGCTCAATTTATGATATTATGATAGGGCGGCATCACACAAGCTGTGCAGACAATAAAATGATTAGGTGATCTTCTAAAGAACAGAGCGATATAAATCAAAATAAACAGATGGCTGCACCCTACTTTGCTGAAGACATTTACCAAGCAACTCCATCTGTTCAGAATACCAGAGGAAACCAGGGAAGGAACCAAAGAAGTCCTTGGAGAGAGAAAACAGGCACCACTAAAGTCACGCACTACAACTCCTGCTACTAGAGCCAGAACCAATGGATTGGAAGAACAGGGAAGCAGCTTCCAGACGGTTTTTAGGAAAACCTTCCGATCCGTAAGGATCATCAGTAAAGGAAAGGGGTGCCTCTGAATGTACCGAGGGCTCCAGGTTAGGGTACCTCAAAAGATGTCCCTTGGAGCCCACTGGCGTCTTCGTTTACACATAAGCCTAATGATCTTGAGCATTTACTTTTTAGTCTTTGTTTAGCACATAAGAATTCCCAAATTAAAAAGAAACGACGTGGTTGTTAAAGGCCACCATCAACAGTGGGGAGTGCCGTTATCAGAAAGGGGGACCCCATAAACACAACCGAAGAATTAGAAACAAAAAGTTCAAGCCCAACAATTTGGCCCCAATTAATTTAGAAGCAAAAGTGTGTACAATAATGGAGAGTCACAATGATGAGACCAAGCTGTCAGGAAATGTCACATTATGGTCACTTTACCATATTTATGGCATGGAAACAAAATACTTGAAAAAGATCCCACTTCCTCAGCCCCAGTGCTTACTGGGTGACAAAGCTGTGGTTTTTAGGAGACTGGCCCTCAGCGACCTGGAAACCTCAACCTGGCTGACGTAGCCAGTGGCTGAGTGTTCTAGAGGCGGCGCTTCCTCGGGACCCAGCTCCCCGATGACTCGGACGGTGGATGGTCCAGTGTACAGATTATCATCAATAACTTGGTGGGCAGCCCACACACGGCCTTCCCACACACATCTCCTCATCTCACTTCACACGAACCCCTATGCACATTTTACTGTTGTCCAGCCAGTGACTTCGCGTGCAGCGCTGGGCCTCAAACCCACTCTGAGTGCCTACGCTGGGCCCCCAGCTCTGCTCTGGGGTTTACAAGTCTAGGGTACGCTTGACATCAGCTGTCCAAGTCTTGTGCGGAGGGCTCTGTGGACAGATGTGTCAGAAGTGAACTGTAAGGTTTTTTTGTGTGCAATTGTGCTGCATCATTTTTTCTATAATTCATCACTTACTCAACAAATATTTACGGGGAAATCAGTGATAAGGAAACTAGGCATGAGCCTTCCCAGAAGACAGTCATATTCTACTTTCAGGGAGAAAAAAGGAAACAAACAAACAAACAAAATACCAGCAGCACTGCGTGTTGCTTTCTGTGTTTTGGAGCCTGTAACCGCGTATCCTTTAAGAGGATGTGCTTAGGAGGAGTTGCTGCCCCTTCCCTAACGAAGTCTTGGGGGCCCTGTCCTCATGAAGCCTGTAGAAATGACAGTGTGCACAGAATCAGACAGACTTGGTTTAATTCATAGTTCCATCCCAACATCAACAGACCAGAAATCGAGTTACGGGCGAAGTTGTGTCACTGCTGCGGATACACTCAGTTGTTAACTGTGACATTGGGCAGGTAGGTGTGCACTCCAGGCAATGTCCCAGGAGCTGGGAGGAGTCCTGAGAGGCTGCCTGGGATTAGTTACCCAACACAGACTTGACTAAGCCAAAGGGATCTGAGCTGGAATCCTGGCTCTGCCACTTGCCTGCATGTGACCACAGATGCCCTTGAGACGACTCTGGGGCAGAAACCCAGGAAGGTGCTGTGTGACCAGGCAATGCTTTCTAGAATCCCCGTGCGGTGGCCTTGGAAGTGTGCCCTTCAGGCCTCCAAGAGAGCCTGTTACGGGAGCAGAGCTGATCAACAATCCAGCTGCCACATCTCTGGGTGCTGCTGCGTTTGCACAGAGGCCATGCTTTTCCGGGCTGCCTCCTCCAGTGACGGAATGTGGCAGGGCTACGAGTGCCGGCCATTCCTGCTCGACACGAGGCTCTTCCAAGGGGCAAATGCTGGCTTGGGGCCACCTCACTAGCCTGTGCGCTGTGGTCGGAGACACTCTCTGCTCAGTCCTTCCTGTCCTTTATCCTTCCACAGACGTCAGGCCTGCACCCTGGCCTGAAGCCCCCCCCCCCGCTTCACTGACATCTGGGCAAATTGCTGCACTCTAACCACCCCAGGGTCTTGGTGTCTGCTTCCTGGAAGACCCAAAGTGACCCCCTGCTACCGTGCAGGCTCCCCGAGGGCAGGGGCATGCCCGTCTCATTCTCCACTGTGCCCTAGAACCTGGCACAGCGCAGGTGCCCAGTAAATGCTCCGTGTGGAATCTCAGGGGTGAAAAGAGCCCTAGAGACGGCCTGACCCACTCTCACGTCCAATACAGCCTGCCTTCTAAGCAGCCCGCACTGCGCACTGAGCCTCTGAACGAAACCGCCAGTGACGGGGAACTTGCTACTCTTGAAAGCAGCCCATTGTGTTGTGAAATGGTTTTAGCTGTTGGGCCAGAGTGTGCACTTACTGCCCTCCGGAGTCACAGAGGCATTTTGGATAGTCAGTGACAGTCCACGGGACAACTGAAGGGACATCTTGGTTCTTCCATCTATCATTCGCATGACAAAGCTGAGCCCCCTTGCCATCCGTCACCCTCCTCTAGTGTGTCCCGATTTGTCACATTTTCTTAGCGTCTGGGTCCTATGATTGGATATGATCATTTCATTGTCATCTGACAAGCACAGAGGCCCGTGAGTCAAAACCATTTCATGATGCAGAGATGAATGTGACAGCCACTGCCCTCAGCCGAGCTCACAGCTACTCGGGAAATGAGACCAATGATCACACACCTTACTCGGCCTGGAAGGGTTGGGGGGTCAGGGGAGCCTTTGTGAAGAAAATGCTGTGAGGGCTGAAAGATGAAGAGCTTTCCACCAGGCGAATTCAGGAAGCGGGTGTGGGATTCTAGGGGGGAGCAAGCAGCCAGCAGAGGCGGGCAGGCAGGACCGCATGCCACACAGAGAACCGCGAGTTCCTGGGGTACCTCACACAACTTTCAGGGTTGTTTGGACAAGCGGATATAAAGAAAGTACCCACTGCTGTGCTGGCCCTCGTAGGTGCTGAAACACCAGTGCCTATTTTTCTTAATGTAATTGTAGCCACAGGTTCTTTTTTCTTTTGTTGTTTTTAACACTAGGCTCAAACTTAACTTGTGGTTAACCCCCACCCGCCCGCCCTTAACCCATTTGAATTGTGCTCCTCTCTGCTTATTTTATTCCCACTGACAAAACCTAAATGCAAGAAAATACCCAGTTATTCTACCTAAGATTCGTCTTGTTTATTGTCCCTTTGGGATTTTGTTTTGTTTCAATGAAATCTTGATTGTTACCTGGCCTTGACACTGCCTCTCAGCTCCAAACATTCAATCGCCTTCTCAGCATCTTCACTGGAGGATACACAAACTGTACTACACGTGGGTCCAACGACTTTGTAAACTTCGTTTGTCTGAATCATGTATCATTTGAAGAAAGTAAGTTTGATAAACTATTTTCTTTAAAAAAATATTATTGAATAACTGAATGACTGAACTATTTTTTTAAACACAAACATACAAAACTCCCTTTACTAACTTAAAAGCGTTTATTTCCACTTCCTCCCCACAGACCCCAGAGCCTGATTCTCAGGAAGGCTTCTTCACCGACAAGGTGCTTTTATGTGATCAGAGTAACTAGCTGATAAGCGGGGAACAAAATACGCCGTTTGGTTTGTTCTACACCCCAGGTTGATGGCCTTTCATCCCCCACGGGGGCCTAACAGGCTGCTCCAAACCGCGTCCTCACCTGTCGTAAGTCAGCCTGAGTCTCTGGCTGTCTACCCTTTTGGAAAGCGCAGGCTCCGTGCCCTGTCAGCTGCTGGACTCTCGCTCCCCCACACCCGACATGACGCA